AACTATTTTAACAGATTTAATGAAAAAATATTAAATTTAAAATATTCATACCATAAACCTTATTAAAATAACACTGCAGAACAAGGAGAGTTGTTTGCACATGAGAATTAGCAGTAAAACTAACACTGAAAATTTTTTTAGCTTTATTTATAAAGCTAAAAAAATTTAAAAGTTTATATAAAATTTACAAAAATTTTAATTTTTAATAGTTTTCCCCTGAATCAGAGGGGGTGAAAGCAAAGGCAAAAAAACAAAAAGCAAAATTAAACAATTCAGGTTCCAATCTCCAGCAATATTGTATATCCTGACAGGATGGCTGTTCCTATATTTTTTTCTGACAGAGTCTTTCAGAGTAAGAGAAAAAATAATTCTGTAGTTTCCAGGAAAAAACAAAAAGCAACACAAGTCTTATGATGAAGGGAACGGTACAGTCTGGTCTACTCTTCGTACTGTGAAATTATGATTGCTATACTCTTGTTAGAAATGGGGCATCTGTACTAGATACTTCAAAGCCAGCAGAAAATTCGAAAAATGCATCAGTCAAAATTGTCCAAAAAATAAAAAAAAAATCCGTGGCTTAAGAGTTTAAAACCAGAAGGATTAAAAAAAACCAGGGAGATTTTTATAGCAAGGTCTAAACTTTAAATGTACAATTTTAACAAAACTTTTGGTTTAACTTTCATGCCAATGCCAACTCTCGAGCACTTCTTATGTAAGGTTTGATGTTAAAACATTCAGCTGAACTTCCCAAATCACAGAGCACGGACACACAGGCCATGGGGATGTAAACCTGAGAACTCTCTTATTTATCCCACCAGTCTATTAGTGGGACAAAAGCTTCTGTTTCTTCCCAATTAATTCCTGCTAATGCTGACTTCAATCTCTGTCCTTCCCAGGCTATTTGCCTCTCTCATTATTTAAAAACCACCTGGGGAGGATGCTTGGGAGGCCTGATGCTTCTGCTGTGGATTGCTCTTGTCAGGGAATTCTCCCATCAATTCAGAGTAATTCCTTCTCGGCTCAGGTGAACTACTGGCTGTGGACATGTCTGAGGTCTCTGAGCTACTGTTATTTATGCATTTAAAAGGAATCTCACTGAGATTATTTTAGCAGAAAAGGTTTCTTGCAGAAGGATCATACCCAGGGAACCTGTGGCTGTCCCTGAATCCCTGGCAGTGCCCAAGGCCAGGCTGGACAGGGCTGGGAGCACACCAGGACAGTGGAAGGTGTCCCTGCCCATGGCAGGGGGTTGAAATTAAATAATCCTTAAGGTCCCTTCCAACAGAAACCATTCTGGGATTCTACGATTTATTTTCCATAGGAATTCTGACATCTTGTTTGAGCAGCCAACAGCAGAAATCGACCACATTTCTAAAGCACCTGCATCTGCCTCTCTGTAATTTTTATTATGAAAACACATTTAATAACTAACCTTCCCCACAAGGATGCTCGGAAGCGACCTTAGAGGCCTTTTAAACACAATCTTTAAAACATTTAGAAGTGTTTAAAAGACAATACGAGTATCTGATTCTGTTCTGCCTGTTACATGGAGCATGATTTCAACAAGTTACCCCTGGAGCGGCAGCGACAGAAAGATCACGATCGCTTTAAGTGAGAATCGCACATTTCGGCTGGCAGCGCTGGCTGCTCCCAGCTCCAGCCTGTTGCACGGGGAAGCCTGAACAAATCCCGAGTGTTTTACAGAGTGTGACAGAGGAATTATCCCGGACACCGGCACAGAAATGCCGTGGGCTGAGGGGCTGCCGGGCGAGGGAAGGCACGGCAACGATGCCGCGGGTGGGGAACGACGCCCAGGGCGGGGACCCTGGGGACAAAGGTTAATAATAAAGGTAAATAATAAAGGTTTGAGTCCTCGCTGGCACAAGGGGCTTTAATTAAGGTGTTCCCGGCTAGGAACCGGCGTGAGCTTGGAGCACACACGGAGAGGTGTCGACACCCGTGTGGGAACACGCTGAGAGCCCCGGGCGGCTCCTGAGGCGGTGCGGGGAACTCGCGGATGTTTCATAACCCAAACCTGCGGGGACGGGCGGGGAGCGGGAGACGGGAAC